CAGAGAGAGCAAAAACAGACGAGTGGAGAAAAGGAAAAAGAGTGATCCGACCCAGGATCGAACTGGGGACCTCAAGCATGTTAAGCTTGCGTGATAACCGACTACACCAACGGACCACTTGTTCCTCCCTCCTCACATTCCATCACTAATCTGCTATGCTCTTTTCACCCCATCTCTTCTCCATCCTCTCCATGAAACAAGCTTCCGACAACAAACATTTAATGACGACCGTTCATCTCGCCCACCAACTCTGCAATCGACTCTGCTGCCGCAAGTTCAACATCCATCTTTTGCTGTCCAAACAATGGCACATCCGGCTCACACACTGTGCCTTCCTTTGGCAACACACCATCCATGAGATAGTTGCGGATGATCTCGATGGTGCACTTGCCTGGCTGTGCATTGGAGCAGTGCCCGTGTCCATTGTGGTGCAAGAACACCGCATTTCTCTCGTGTCCAACATTCATGAGCTTTGTGGTCTCCACTGCAGCATGGTACGGTGTCACAGGGTCCAATGTGTTGCCAATCACCAGCACTGGATTGGCAAACGTGTGATTCCAAGGCCCAGCAAAGCGTTCCTGTTCCTTGAATCTTGGGAAATGCACACACTTGCCAAAGGAAGTGGTAAAGACCTCAAGCCCAACACGATCCACTGAATTTTGCTCTTGAATGATGCGATAGTAGTCCTTGACTGTCTTGTCAAATGTAGAGTCAGCGGTATCAGCACAAAAGATACCAGATTGTGCAAAAGGAGTGTCAGCAACAGTATCAACAGCACAAGAGTCTTCCTTGGTCCAGATACCAACTGCACGTGCATAGATCTTCTTGCCATCACCTTGTTCAGCAGCAAGCAGTTCTTCAGCAAATGCTGGCCAAGTATTGGGCTTGTACAAGGTTCTGAATGTCGCCATTTCAATCATCTCAGGTGTCAGCAATGCTGGAACTGGAAGATCTACAAGCAAAAGAGGCTTGGCTCTTACTCGCTCGATCAACGCATTGTATCTGTCGATGGTCTTGTTCTCCGACTTGAACGCACAGTCAACACTCTTGTCACAAGCATCAGTGAACGCCTTGAAGACTGCAGCATCATCGGCAAGATCATCAAACAAAAAGTCAGTCACGTCACCAGAAAACTTGGTTGGGTTGACCACACCATCAATGATCATGTTGCCCACTCTCTCTGGAAACATGTTGGCATATGTGTTGCCCAAAAACGTGCCATAGGAGAATCCCCAGTAGTACATCTTGTCCATTCCAAGGAACTCTCTGATCTTGTCCATGTCACGAGCGACATTCGCAGTGGAAAGGAACGGCAGGTACTCTCCAGAGTGCTTGAAGCAGCTTTGGCCCAAAAGCTTGTACAATGCATCCAGATTCGTGAACTCTGCTTCAGACAGACCTGGTGACAATAGTGGCGTGCCAAGGAGCATAAAGTGCTGCATAAAGTTGAAAGTGGCAGCATTGTTGTCAGCGCACTTGAGTGGGATGGAGCGTTGCACACCGCGAGGATCAAAGCCAATCAAATCCACATCGTCACCAAGCATCTGAGCAAACTTGGCACCGCCATTCTGGATAAAAGAGATGCCGCTGCCACCAGGGCCACCTGGGTTGAACAAGACAGATCTTCTTGCTGGCTGGTTTTTGGCTTTGTAGCGGTTCAAGGCAATTTTGATGATCTTTGAGTGTGGATCAGAGTGGTTGAGTCTCACTGGCAAGTCGTAGCATTCAAGACGCTCACCGCATGGTTTCCAGACAGAATCCTCACGGGGCATGTGGCATTTGTGCTGCATGAGCAAGAAGGCAGACACCACTAGGAGAGCAATCCATCCAAAGCGGCTGGATTTTTTGACTGGGGACTGTTTTTCCATAGGAAAGCCTTTCGGGCTTGTGATCAATGATAAGGCAGATTTTGGGTGTAATGCTATGCCTGTGGGTTGGCATTGATCTGAAGAAAATAAAAGTGAGTGCCTCAGATACCGTTGTAGTCATTTGTGCCCTCAGGAGTCAGGCATCATTCGGTTCTCATCACAGGCAAAAGGTTTGCGCCAGCCCGGAATTGAACCGGGGGCTCAACGATGGCAACGTTGAATTTTACCACTAAACCACTGGCGCATCTGAAGAAGAAATGACACTGCATAATAGAAACCCAGACTTTAATCCCATGGCAACCTTCCCATTGTCGCAACTGGAATCGTGAGTTTAGCATTGACTGGATTTTTCAAGATGGCTTGATCATCTACTTTGTTGTGCTTTGGATCATCCATGAACTTTTGAATGCCATGGCGTTTGTACAATTCAAGCTGAGGCAAGAAGATGGTTGATTTGCGCTTATAAGTATCAACGTGATACACTCGATTGGCCATTTCTTCAGAGCCGTACTGAATGCGGGTGCGATTTGGTACTTTTGTCGATAAGCCAGCACCTTCATCGCGGGGTGGCTCCTTGTCTGCATCAAATCCAGGGATTTGAAAGTCTCTCGAGTGAGTGGAAATAGGAGGCGGGCTAGAATCATCAAATGTACATCTTGTCGCGTCTTGGCAGGACATGCGTTGGAACGAGTGGATCTAATTCCCTGAAATGAACAATTGTACTTTTTGCGGCGGTAGATGTTGTCAATGGTCAAGTCCAGGGTTGGAATCTTGCGCTGCTTCTTGACAAACGTAGATTCAGGCGAAAAGAATGCCTTATGGGTCGTCTCATAGGTCATCTGAGATGAAATCGGATGCCTTGTGTCCCATCTGAAAGACTTCATTGTTCGTTTTAGGCTTTTGAATCATTTAATGAAAGAAGTGACGTCGAATGTGCGATGCCAACGGGAACTCATTGCCAGAGGACATGAGATTCTTTTTACATCGATTGGTGTAGCAGCCATTTCATATTCTGGCTCAAGAAGAGCAGAATCTTTTCCGCCTGACTGCTCAGTGGAAAAGATGGAACCCCGCATATCAAAGAGATCCTCAGTCACAGATGTCAGACAACGCAGCTATCGAGATCTACTGTTCTTTCAGGAGCGTATGAAACAGAACATGCTGCGATTTAAGAGAACAAGAGGAAAGTGGCAGAGTAAGGGTGTTGACATCAGTTGGATTGTATATTCTTCTTTCTTTCACACTCTACTGTCTGTATAGCGTCTATTGGCACGATGTGCCCCCATACTCGCTCTTGGGGCTCTTGGTGGGAAGCACGATAGCATTGGGATTGTACACTAGTGGCATGATCCACCGCAAGCTCTGGAACTCTCAAAAGCAACTACTTTGATCGTAGATTCGTGAATCAATGTAACAAATCTCTCAAACCATTCAACATGTCGTTTGAAAACGGCGAACTCAAATTCAATCGAAAGATCTCCAAGGAATTTCAGCAGGACTTTGAGCAGTACAAGCAGCTTTACTTTTCAAAGCGCAGGAAACTGTGATTACATGATCGAACACTTGCTTTCCTTGGATCTCTTTTTGTAAGCTTCTATAAACTTGAGTTGCTTTGCATTAATCGCTCCCCTGCGTCGCTCTCGGATATAGATGACAGAATCCAGAGGAGGCATACCCGCTTCGATGAGTGCCATTGCTACTAAAACAGGTGCCCTGTTGTCAATCCACAAACCTGCCTAGTCCTGCTACACAATGCACGCCAATGGGACTGATTTGCTGTTGCGGCTGGTACAGCCCCATCTTCTGGTTGACAAGTGTCAGCCACTGGTGAATCACCGCATCCGGAGGTGCTTCTCCATCAGGAAAGGGTAAATCCTGTTATCAACATCAAAACATGCACTTGTATTCCAGCGGCAAGCATCGTGTCTTTTGAATACGTTGGCTCACAGGCCCTGACAACATCCTTGACTTTGTGTGACTGAAGTTCCTTGATATAGCTTTCCAAGTTTCCATCCGACGGTGCGTCGAAAATCACAAACTGTAAATGCTTGTATTGGACAGGCGATGGTTGATTTGGCAGACGAGATGGAATTCCAGTCCCATTTGATTTCGTTCGTTGCATTGCAGACATTTTGTGTCTATCTTTCGGGACCCTTGCGATTCAATTTGTTGAGCAAAGATGGTTCGTGTTTGTTGACACCAAAAGTCGCAGATCAGATTGCAACTTTCCTGATGCCTCCAAGACCAACATTGCTCAAGGGCATGAAAATTACGCCGATTCCACTCTTCAAAGACAACTACTGCTACCTCTTGCAAGACCTAGTCTCTCAAGAGTCTGCACTCGTTGATCCAGCACTGTCTTCAGCGTTTGATCCCAACTCCAACGTTTCTGCTCTATTGGTCACACATCACCACGCTGATCATGCAGGTCAAGTTCATGTGATTGCCGAGCAGGAACCACAGTTGAAAGTGTATGCTGCGGACGATCGTGTCAAGGGAATCAGAAACAAAGTACAAGACAGAGTGCCATTCCATCTTGGCACACTCAAGATCACTCCCATTTTCACTCCCTGTCACACTGCTGGCTCTGTGAGTTACTTTGTTGAAGACACTCAGGATGGCAGAGCTGTCTTCACTGGCGATACACTCTTTTCAAGTGGATGTGGTCGGTTCTTTGAAGGCAACGGTCACGAAATGTATCAATCTCTCTCCATCTTGGCTTCATTGCCAAAAGACACGCTGGTCTTTTGTGGACACGAATACACCCTCTCCAATCTCAGGTTTGCCAAACACATTGAACCAGAGAATCCAGACATCCAAAAGAAACTGGAATGGGCAGAACAAACAGACTACACGATGCCATCCACGATTGAATCTGAACTCTTGACCAATCCATTCGTGCGTGTTTCCAACCCAGAATTGCAGAAGCTTCTTGGAAACAGTGATCCTGTGTCTCTCATTTCTCTCCTTCGAGAACAAAAGAACAACTTTTGAGAAAGTGTCTCAAAAGTAAAATCACTGGAAAATCATTCATGATTTGAAAACAGCTACTCAAAATGTAACAAAGCAAGTTGATTCTATTTCTTTGTGTGATACAGGAAACTAAATAAGCATGACGAGGTAGGGACAACAGCGCCAGTGGTTTAGTGGTAAAATTCAACGTTGCCATCGTTGAGCCCCCGGTTCAATTCCGGGCTGGCGCATGTTTTCTTTTCGTTTTTTTACCAACTTTTCCAATGGATTTTGTTGAGAGAGTGGATCGGTTTTGTAATTTGATATCCAAGTCAAGAGGACATGCCATATCATGGTAGATGGACTCATCAGAGGAACTGGACAGCCAAACACTTGCTGGATCTTGCTAGACAGTACCCAGGCGGCTTGACAGAAGCCATTATAGAATGTGAACTGATCAAGGTACCTTTATTGACAACAGCGGACTGAACAAGCTCCTAAAAAGCAGTTTCGGACACTCGAAGCACTGTATGTCAAGAGAGAGACACCAACGTTGTTTGATCCCTTTGAAACACATTGCACTGGATACATGTCAGCCACTGGATCACATTTGCAGGGACCACCTTCTTTGCAACTGGAAGATGTGGATGTTCAAGTTAATATGATGGCACACACAAAATTTCTAGAATATCTTGCATGGTTCAAAGACAGAACCATGAGATTCACACATTGCCAGTGGTTGCCTGAAGATCCCATCAAAACCCTGTTGCCGACAGAGAATCTCGTGATTGTATTGGATCCGTCCAACGAACAAGACCAGCAACTCTTGGGAACGCATTTTACATCTCAGTTTGAAGATGCAGTGCCAGAACAAGATCACAATTTTGTCGCACGCGTTGTCAAGATTGAACAAGTTGTACGAGACAATGGACACGAGTACGTGCAAGTGAATGTGGTGGATGGCATGGCACAATCTGGACTGATTATTTTCTGGAACAATCATACACACATCACAAAACTCTTTTCAGTTGGAGATTCATTGGCACTGTGGCATCCGCTGATTGTGAGAACACAGCAACAAGTGATGATGGAGCATACACACAAGACAGTCGTGTTTGTGATGCCAATGGAACAAGATCTTGCACCATCTCAAACTGGATTGGCTGCACAGTACCGAGCACATCCTACTGGATTGTATGACATGGCATATGTGACAAAACGGCTACAAATCAAAGACCTTGTGCAAGGAGCGTTGCATGTGTCATTCTTTGGCTGTGTCGTGCATTGTGAGAGACACATGAACAGATTAGGACTGCGATTGGCAGACAGCACTGGTCATAAGAGTAATCCAAGGCATATGTGACATTTACTTTGAAGGAGACGCAGATGTGGATCTGGGACATGTTGTCTTTGTCGAGAATCTGGCTTCGTTTGGTGAAAAGTGGATTGGACACAAGGATCTTAGCTCTAGTATCTGGAATGGTATTGAATTTGATACAAGTGACCATGAGCCAGGGCATTCCACACACACAGTGCTTGTCTCATCTCTCATTTCTAAAGGAGATCTCGCAGGGACTGTACTATTGCAAAGCCATGGTAGTAGATTTAGATGAGCATCCAAGCACAACCAAACGTTTCAAGGTTGACAGTAGATGTGTGTGGTGATTTGGCGTGTGAAGTGGATGACGGCATCTATTACTGTGACAAGTGCCAAGAATGCACTTCAGAAGTGATGATCATGAGAAATGTACAAGTTTCTTTGGATGATGGCACAAAGAGAGTCAATGCCAAGTTGAACTACTTTGACCTTGGACTGTCTGTTGGATCAGAGCATGTGTTTGTGTTGACAAGTCTCAAAGATCTGAGGATAGACTACATTGTTGCAGATCCGCCTCTTCTCTCGCATCATGTCAGTGACACTTCACACAAACCTTGGAGACTTGAAGATTGAAGTGTTCTGTGAAGGTTTTGGAGCTGATTAAAGCTGTCCCAAGGACAAGTGAGAACTTTCTGGCATTGTGTGCGTCAGGTTACTACAATGGATCACCATTTCACAGGAACATCAAGGGATTCATGGCGCAGGTTTGAAGAGTAAGAGTAGACTGGTGATCCCACTGGAACTGGCAAGGGAGGGAAATCTATTTGGGACAAACCATTTGACGATGAAATCAAGCCAACACTCAAGCATCACACGAGAGGCATTGTGAGTATGGCCAACAAAGGCCCTAACACCAACGAATCGCAGTTCTTTATCACTTTTGGAAAACAGACGCATCTGGATGGCAAGTACACTGTTTTTGGAAAACTCATTGATGGATTTGACACACTCGAGTTGATAGAGAACCAACCAGTGGATGCAAAGAACAAGCCTCTCAGTCCGATCGTGTTGGAAAGAGTGACCATTCACGCCAATCCACTGGCATGATGTTTATTTAGACTGCTGGATAAAGGACTTGATGTCAAAGTGCTTTTGTCCAGGCTTCTTGGTGATGACTCCCTTTTCAGTCACGATGCAAGAGATGAGTGATGCTGGTGCAACCTATTGTCAAACAAGATACATCAAACGCTGGGTTCCAAACACCGATGCCAGGTGCAGCAATGTCAACAGTGGCAGTCGCAACACCGTGTGGATAATCCTCTTCCTTGACACTGGCTTCATCAGAAACCAATCTGCCACGAATGGATGTCACTTCCTTGCCAGCACGCTCTTCAATCTCGATCGAGTCTCCATCTGGCGTGTTGAGGTCAATCGAAGTCGTTGGAGCAGCGACAATGAACATCACATTGTGGTAAGCAGCTGTGATCGCAAGCTGATAAGTGCCAATCTTGTTAGCAGTGTCTCCATTGGCAGCAACACGATCAGCACCAACAACAATGGCGGTAATGTTCTTTGTCTTGAGCAAAGCAGACACCATGTCGTCACAGACCAAAGTGCTTGGAATCTTTTCATAAACGAGTTCATAAGCAGTCAAACGAGAACCTTGGTTGTATGGACGTGTTTCTGTGCAAAAAGCATGCTCTAGCTTCTGGATCTGATGAAGATCTCTGATGATACCAAGAGCAGTACCCCATCCAGCAGTGGCGAGACTGCCAGTGTTGCAATGCGTCAACACGCGAATAGGTCCTTGGCTGTTCTGGACAATGTACTCACTGCCCCACTTGCCAATGGCTTTGTTGTCCTCAATGTCCTGCACCAACATGGCCTCAGCTGCTTCAATGTAACCACCAACCACTTTTGATGCATCACCAGTCTTGGCTAGTTCCTGTGAGAGCTTCAACAATCTGCCACTGGCTTCAAACAGATTGACGGCAGTGGGTCTAGACGTTTTGAGAAATTCAAGACGCTGTTCGATAAACGAGAGTGCATCGTTTCCGGTCTTGAAAGGACTGTGTGCACTGTGCTTGGTTTCGCTGTGCAGCTCGACTGCTAGTGACAGTGCAGCGACAATAGCGATCGCTGGTGCACCTCGAACTTTCATTGTCTTGATAACATGGTGTCCCTCTTGTGCGTTCTTGACTGCCTCATACTGTGAGACATATGGCAGCAGCAGCTGATCAAGGATTTCCAGATTGCCACGAGTGTATTTGATTGCTTCCAGAGTTGCACGAGTCATCAAAGTGGAAAAGTCGCAATGGGTGACAATCTTGTCAAACTTGCCACAGATTGCATCATGTCACACGAACCAAACAAACTCTCAATCGCCTTAAAGGTTGGGACCCTGTTCGTTGCTTGGATTCTGCTGATTGTCTATCTAGCTGGACAGTTACCACCATCAGACGAACTCAAAATCCCACATTCACTGGCAGATTTGAAATTACTCGTCAATGCTGCTAAGCAGTACTCTGACACATATCCATTGGCTATTCTGATGCTCTATTGCACAGTCTTTCTGTTCAAACAGACCTGGGGCATTCCTGGCGCTGCTCTATTGAACATTCTGGCTGGTGCGCTCTTTGGATTCAAAGCACTGCCTCTGATATCCTTTTTGGGTGCTACTGGATCCTCCATTGCCTATCTCATCTCAAAGCACTGGATTGGACAACTTTTGGTTGGGCCGTGCATTTCCAAACAATCACTCAGAAACTGGAAACTGACCATCAAGCAGAACGAAGATAATCTGTTGGTCTATCTGGCCACTATCCGCATCTTGCCATTGTTCCCTGGATGGTTTGTCAACTTTGCTGCTCCACTCATTGGAGTTCCTTTGGATGTCTTTTGGATGTCGACATTTATTGGTATCACATCTTACACCAGGCTTGACACCATTTCACTATGTTTGTGTCTCTGCTGCAACAACATTGGCCGAGATTAACTCGCTGTCAGAGATTTTCAACTTTTGGACCATTTTCAAGATCACATCCATTGGTGTCATTCTTTTACTGACTGCTGTCTTCAAAGACAGACTCTTGCAGTGGATCGAACGCTTCAAAAGGAAACAGGGCTATCAAACACCAGAAGACATGGTGTAAGACTTCCACATTCGGTTGATGATAGCAATGATTGGCTGGCCATCATTTGCAATCAAAATAGCTTCTTCTAGATCAGCAATGTCTTGCAGGAAGCGCTGCATGTCTTTTGCTGGATCACGAATCTCACGCAAATGTGCTGCAAGACACAAGAGCTGTCCCTGATACAGATGCATCAACGGATTAGGATCCGTGTTCAGATTATTGGCTACACGCTCAACATCCCTATCATGAATAGATCTACAGCAACGTTTCTCTCAGATCTTCCAGTCCCTTTGGCTTACTAGATCTCCAGAGCTTGAGAATTCTACCCATTCCAGAGTAAAGGATGAAAAACGTTGGCATGAAAGCAAGAAATGCGAAATTCAGCTCATTCGAACGCAAGAGCTTGTCCATCGCAGACATGGCCAACTCTCCATCTACTTTTGCCTTTTGGATCTGAATCAAGAGAGATCGAATCAAGTCACCCGTCAATGCACTTTTGATGGGATTGCGAATGTCGTCTTCATAGTGAGACAAGACTGCTGTAAGATCACCGTTTCTGACATTGTTTCTAATGCTCTCAATCACACCTTGCTCTCTTGTGCCTCTGTCAGTGACAAAATCAACGACCATTCTCTCGAGAGACTGTTGTGAATCCAAGAACCTGTAAATCTGCTTGCAAGCTCTCTGTACCCATGATTGCCAATCTTGCTTCCTTGTGTCTGATGGTGGCAACCATATCCACACATGGCTTGTAGATCCATTCTCTCAAGAAACCAAAAACGGTCTCTCTTCCATCTGA